CATAGGTTAAGGGGGGTAGCATTTTTCAAAACATCAGTGATGAGTCAGGCGCCGCATTTTTTTTCAAACATCAATGTTAGGTTAGGAGGGATACAACTTTTCAAACACAAAGATAGGTTAGGGGAGGTAGCAATTTTCCATTTCTTCATGCACTAATTGGGAGGATACGTCTTGTTAACCATTGCATCGCATTTTCCCCACATATTGAATATGGGGTGGAATCCACGTCTTACAGGACGTGCAGCACGTGCAGGTTCATCCTCCTCATCTTGATTTTCTGCTTGAGGTATATCGGGGCATCCATATGCTAAGGATTGTGTCAGGCTCAGTACATACTGAGCCCGTCAAAGGCGGACAATCCACGTTTTGTAGTGAGACAGGTACACATACGTCCTTTAACATTCCTAATAGATCTTTACTGGAATTGCTGACCAATATATAACTCTAAAGCACTTTGGATAGCTGAATGAGTAAGTTTGGACTGATGATAGCTGGGAATTCCTTTGCAACGACAGATTTGAACCTGATCTTGAGTGAGAATTGAGTACATTTTGGGTTTTAATGCAATGAGTTCCTGAATAATTTTGGCTCCAACGTCCGATTTTAGCAAACCCAGTTGACCTTTGCGAGGTTCATCAAACTAGGGATTTTCAGGAGGGAAATTGCTGAAATCCATATGCTGAGACAAAGGCAGTTTACTTAATTCCTCAAAAGCATTTGGACAGGTCAATTCAATTAAATACGAATCTGTGTCCGTATACAGCAATCTAGCTTTGTCTCCATAATGAACTTTGACAGTATTGTACCAAGTTGGTGTATTGACTTTAAGAGATGGTTTTTTGACGGTACAAATGACTCTGTCTTCACTTAACAAAATACGTCGTTTGAAGAACGAGTTACGTGCAAGCTTTTGGAACTTGTCTCGTGATGTAACTAAATAATGCTGATCACAATATTTGCTCATATTTGTTAAACTCTTGCCGTAAATTGCATTCGATACCAGAATGAAAGCTTTACCCATAATGGCGCAAGGTGTATTGGAACGTTCACGAGCATTTGTTTTGACAAATTACTTAAGGTACTTGTTTTGTCGGAATACATAAACTGCATTTACCTTAACAACTTCCAATCCCAATTTCATCAGTATCTGCAATAAATCCAAACTGACCAAGTAATCTTTTTTGGGGAGATGAGAGGCAATTAATGTATTGTTTTTCTTGGGAAGTTTGCGATCTTCGGTATTTAAAATGTGTTTGCTATAATCAGACAGCAGATAAATAGAAATATTAGCATGTGACAGGGTTAAGGGTAAATTATCGGTGTATCGAGCCACCTCAGGTGCGAAATGGTTGGTATCACACATGACCCAATACTCCTTATCCCCATCACATGCAATATTCTCCAATCATTGTTGGAGCCAATCATTGAGTTCGGCAGCAGATAATTTACGGATCCCGCCTTGAGGAAGCAGTTCTGTCATACAGGTGGTGTATAAGCCATTAAAATCCAAATATAAAATATATTTACAAGTGCTAGAAGGATGAGCACCTGTATTCTCATTTTCTACACTTGTGTGTTGTTGTACAACAGAGGTAAATCCGGCTCTTAAATTTCTGCGCAATACATCGTACAAATGGGGATCAGAAATAGAGTCCTAGACAACTTTACTCTTAAACAAGAAAGCGTCCCATGCAAAACTAGATAACGAGACATAGTGAGTAATGTCTAACTTGTACAGCTCAAGCATGGTCTGGCGCCATACAGTAAATACATCACACAATAGTCCAGTATCTATTTCAAATAGACTTTCAAGTAATCCCCAATGGTCTTGCGTTCCACTAATCTAAAGACTTCTTTAGCCTGTTTATAATCGTTCTCACTTATTGCCTCGTGCTTTAAACTATTGTAGAAGGCTTCAGGAGGAGGAAGAGCCGGTTCATCTAATTTCTCCAAAGATGAAATATAATAATAACAGAATACCTGTTTGCCTACCTTTAATAAGTGGTGGGCAGCTACAGGGACGTCATCTAGCATAACTGAGGTGTATCTGGTAGGTTTACCTTCCTTCTTATGTTCTTTTGACAGTTTGTCCAGCCCGCCATTTAGTAAAGCCAAACTGTCCATAAACCGAAGTTTACCGATATCCACTTTCATGAACTTAAATCCATCTTTGGAGGCAATGTCAATTTTACGGTTAGGAAGGTTGGACAATTCATTTAAAATTACCCCGAGGTCATAAGCTGCATTGTGAGAGAATGTGTACAAATATTTTTAAGAATTTCGGCACAACATGTTGCACCTACGGCAATAGGCTGCTAGATAATTATTAAATTCAATGGGATGATCATGATGACGGTGCTTGTCTTCAGCTGATTTGAATGGCCTGTAACACATTTCACATGTGGTTTGACTTCTATAAGCTTGCCAATGTGCATGTGTCATAGATATTTTGTATTTAGGCATGGCAGATTTAATTCTCTTCCACGTCTTCTCCAAAGTATCTATGAAATGATTCACAGGTTCATCCCCCATATACGTTAATTTCTCTACCACCTCCAATTCCCTGTTGATGATGATATAAGCATATGCCACACGCTTCTCAATCATGCCTTGAGGATTGGAGGGGTCCGATAAGCACTTGAAATCATAATATGCTGTGTGAGAAGGACCAAAGGCATGACCGTAATGTTGAACTCGATTTTATGACCTTCAGGGTAAAATTTTAATGTTTGATTATTGTTGTCCCCTAACTCCCCTTGCCACTTCTGGGGGTATAGGGTGTTTATGTGGCTTCAGGGCACCAATCCCCCCAGCCACTGGGCATGGCCAGAAGGCGCCCCTAAGCATACCTAATACCCTATCAAACACAAACTAAAATACACAAAAATGGCAGATATCATAACAACCCACAAGAGTTAAGATGATACTAATAACACACAATATTAACTTGAGAATAACATACACAAAATGGAAAATTCTTTTGTATTTGGTTTTTCTTATATGGGACACAGCACACGCAGGGAGAGGTGCACAGTATATCATTAAAAAAGACTGAAGCTGAAGGCAAAACAACAAGCTGCCTAAGCGGCAGGATTGGTGACTTGACATCGGCATACATGGAAAAAACTATTCATAGTGGAAGCTCCTAACAAGGACCCGGAGTGGGAGGGATATCATGTATGCGCATGGGGGTCCCTCCGGCTGCCGCCTTACCCACTCGTGGGCTCTGGCCAGGTCATCCACCCTCTTGTGACACACCATTAGGAGAAGTCGTACTCCAGATGACGACTCTGCTTAGATAGTTGGCTACCAGCTATCCTGGCTGCGGTTCACCTAAGCAAGACTATATTAACCCTTATGCACCCTGTGCACGGTGATCCTGGGACTAAGGTGGTCTGCCCCTAGATGTGGTCTTGGACCATATTCTGTAGATGGAATATGTCCAGGTCAGGGCTTTCACAGAGCAAATCTCAAGGTCGCCCTTGGTGAGTCCCATATCCTGTAGACCACGCACACTCTCCTTGCACCATCATTCCCTCCAATTAAGGGTTATTGAAGAGGCGGATGCTGTGTGCTTCCAGGTATATTCCCTGACCTTTTGAAGGATCTCTAGGGTGCCATACTTGTCGCTCTTGCTCTGATGTGGACGGGAGAGTGGGAAGTTATCAGTAGAGACCTGGGAGTCTAATATAAAGGCCTCATCACCTTTGCAAGCTATGATGTCAGGCTTACAGAAGTCCCTCCACCCGGTATACGAACTTCACGTTCCACCTCAAAACCTCTTTGCCGCAGGCGGCCGGCTATGAACCGGGTGATATCGTCATGACGTTTCACCCGAGCCCCCATGTGTCTTGTGGCATGCCTGGGATATGTGGCTCAGGGTCCCTGGTTCTGGCAACTTCACATGACTCTTCGTGATCTCGCATAGCATCAGGTGACAAATGAATTAATCACGAATGGCAGACAATATGATTGCCTGGTATTTTACTTGAATTGCTACGCATGTTGCGAACATATTGATGGAAATCTTTAATGAGCACAAGATGCTAATCCTCTAGCATGAGCAATAGTACTTAACGGGCAGAATGTTCTCTGCCTTTTCGAGCTAAGCTAATACATTACCGGTTATCTTCACGAGTGAGCACATAGATAAATATACTTAATTTATTTATACTTTCAATTTTATTGATGTTATCTTACGTTATGGATATTTCAATATCTTCACTCCAATGGACAAATCTAAGACACCACCTGACTGACTTGGAACGCCTGACAATGTTATTTGATGTCATCCCCTGAGCTAGGCATATGTATGCTGCCAAACATTGAATCAGACAAGCATTTTGCTTCCCCTTAGGGTTGAAAACATGTCTTGAACCACGCAATCTATCTGGATACGGCACATAATTACCTAGACGGATAGGATGCTGAACTGCTATGGAATTGATATTATATCCAGAAATGCTTTGAATAGCTAGACTCGAACCTTCTGTCTCGGCAAGGAACTCTTCTATCTTGTTATCCAATTCAGTGATCCATTGATCATTGATCATTGAACACTAACCTCACGCCTAGATACAGTGTTTCATCAGCCCTTATGGGTAAATCTCCCTCAAAATCAGGTTCATTTTCTTGATTAAGCCGTTGTAATTTGAACCAAAAATCTGGGTAAATCAATAGGGCAGGAGGGAAATTGGGGTGAACGGCATCAAACAGCGATTCTAATTGCCGTGTAAAATAATCGTGATATATAGTTAAATAATGGGCAGGATCTCCTTGGGCATAATCTGGGATGCTATATGAATGGCGTATGTACCCCCCCCCCCATTGAAATTATTGATCACTTCTAGAACTTCAGGTTGAGGAGGAAGCAAAACATCTACCTGCTGCTGCTGCTGTTCCTGAGGTGGTGATGGAGACCACCACACCTGTCTCTCTCTCAGCATGTCTCCCACATTAGTCCTCACACACCTGTCTCTGTCAGCGTGTCTCCCACATTAATGTATGACCCGTGTCTCCCCCAGGGCGTGTGTGTGGTGCGGCCGTGGGAGGAGGAGGAGGTGTGGGGCGCCTTCAGGAGGTGGCACGTGCTGGTGCTGACGGCCCTGGCCGCCCTGGCCCTCAGTGAGTACCTCGGTCACTCATGTGTACTCCCTGGGGACCTCAGGGCAGGTGTGGCTACACCTGCCCTCAATGAGTACCTCAGTCACTCACGTGTGCTTCCCGGTGACCTCAGGCCAGGTGTGGCCACGCCTGGCATTACTTTATGTAACAATTATTATGTTTGTGTTTGCTTTAGTCAGTCGTGTACCAGCAGACGCCTGGAGGGCTGGAGGGCTGCGAACTGAGGGATGGAGAGCTGCAGACTGTGGGTTGCAGGGCTGCGGACTGAAGGCTGGAGGGCTGCGGACTGAGGGATGGAGAGCTGCAGACTGTGGGTTGCAGGGCTGCGGACTGAGGGCTGGAGGGCTGCGGACTGAGGGCTGCAGACCGAGGAATGGAGGGCTGTAGACTAAGGCCTAGAGGGCTGCGGACCGAGGGCTGCGGACTAAGGCCTGGAAGGCTGCGGACTGAGTGCTGGAGGGCTACGGAACGAAGGCTGGAGGGCTGCAAACCGAGGAGCTGGAAAGCTGCGGACCGAGGGCTGGAAGTCTGCGGACCGAGGGCTGGAGGGCTGCGGACCGAGGGCTGGAGGGCTACGGACCGAGGCCTGGAGGGCTTTGGACTAAGGGTTGGAGGGCTGCGGGCCGAGACCTAGAGGGCTGTGGGCCGAGGGCAGGAGGGCTAGGGACCGAGGGCTAGAGGGCTGCGGGCCGAGCCCTGGAGGGTTGTGGACCGAGGCCTGGAAGGCTGCGGACCGAGGGCTGAAAGGCTGTGGACCGAAAGCTGGAGGGCTTCGGACCGAGGGCTGGATGGCTGCGGACCGAGGGCTGGAGGGCTGCGGGCTGAGGCCTGGAGGGCTGCAGACCGAAGGCTAGTGGGCTGCGGACCGAGGGCTGGATGGCTGCGGACTGAGGGCTGGAGGGTTGTGGACTGATGCCTGGATGGCTGGTGAACGAGGGCTGGAAGGCTGCGGACCGAGGCCTGGAAGGCTGCGGACCGAGGCCTGGAGGGCTGCGGACCGAGGGCTGGTGGGCAGCAGACCGAGATCTGGAGGGCTGCGGACCGAGGCCTGGAAGGCTGCGGACTGAGGGCGTCGGGCCGAAGACTGGAAGGCTGCGGACCGAGGGCTAGAGGGCTGGAGACCGAGGGCTGGAGAATTGCGGCCCGAGGGCTGGAGAGCTGCGGACCGATGGCAGGAGGGCTTCGGACCGAGGGCTGGAGGGCTGCGGACCGAGGGCTGGAGGGCTGCGGACGGAGGGCTGGAGGGCAGCGGACCGAGAGCTGCGGGACAAGGACTGTAAGGCTGCGGACCGAAGAATGGACGGATGCGGACCGAGGGCTAGAGGGCTGCGCACCGAGGGCTGGAGGGCAGCGGACCGAAGGCTGGAGGGCTGCGGACCGAGGGCTGGAGGGCAGCGGACCGAAGGCTGGAGGGCTGCGGACCGAAGGCTGGAGGGCTGCGGACCGAGGGCTGGAGGGCTGCGGACCGAGGGCTGGAGGGCTGTGGACCGAGGGCTGGAGGGCTGCGGACCGAGAGCTGCAGACCGAGGCTGCAGAGCTGCTGAGTGAAGAATGGACGGATGCGGACCGAGGGTCGTGGGCTGTGAAACGAGGGCTGGAGGGTTGCGGACCGAGGGCTGGAGGGCTGCGCACCGAGGACTGGAGGACTGCAGACCGAGGGCTGGAGGACTGCGGACCGAGGGCTGGAGGGCTGGAGACCGAGGACTGGAGGGCTGCGGACCGAGGACTGGAGGGCTGGAGACCGAGGACTGGAGGGGTGGAGACCGAGGACTGGAGGGGTGGAGACCGAGGACTGGAGGGCTGGAGACCGAGGACTGGAGGGCTGCGGACCGTGGACTGGAAAACTGCAGACTGAATACTTGAAGGCTGCGGACCGAGGGCTGGAGGGCTACTGACCGAGGACTGGAGGGCTGCAGACCGTGGACTGGAGGGCTACGGACCGAGGCCTGGAGGGCTGCGGACCGAGGATTGGAGGGCTGCAGACCGAGGATTGGAGGGCTGTGAATCGAGGACTGGAGGGCTGTGGACCGAGGATTGGAGGGCTGCGGACCGAGGATTGGAGGGCTGTGGATCGAGGACTGGAGGGCTGCGGACCGAGGCCTGGAGGGCTGCGGACCGAGGCCTGGAGGGCTGCGGACCGAGGCCTGGAGGGCTGCGGACCGAGGATTGGAGGGCTGTGGATCGAGGACTGGAGGGCTGCGGACCGAGGATTGGAGGGCTGTGGATCGAGGACTGGAGGGCTGCGGACCGAGGATTGGAGGGCTGTGGACCGAGGACTGCGGACCGAGGATTGAATAGGGCTGTGGACCGAGGACTGGAGGACTGCGGACCGAGGACTGGAAAGCTACTGACCGAAGACTGGAAGGCTGCGGACTGAGGGCTGGAGGGTTGTGGACTGATGCCTGGATGGCTGGTGAACGAGGGCTGGAAGGCTGTGGACCGAGGACTGTAAAGCTGCAGACCGCAGACTGGAAGGCTGCGGACCGAGGGTTAGAGGGCTGCGGACCGAAAACCAGGAGGGCTGTGGATTGAGGCCTTGAGGGACACGAACCGAGGACTGGAGGGCTGCGGACCGAGGACTGGAGGGCTGCGGACCGAGGAATTAGGGCTGCGGACCGAGGGCTGGAGGGCTGCGGACTGAAGGCTGCGGACCGAGGGCAGGAGGGCTGCGGACCGAGGCCTGGAAGGCTGCGGACCGAGGGCTGGAGGGCTGCTGACCGAGGCCTGGAAGGCTGCGGGCCGAGGGTTGGAGGGCTGCGGACGGAGGGCTGGAGGGCTGCGGATCGATGACTGGAAAGCTGGGGACCGAAAGTTGGAGGGCTGCGGACCGAGGGCTGCATACCGAGGGCTGGAGGGCTGCGAACCGAAGACTGGAGGGTTAGGGACCGAGGACTGGAGTGCTGTGGACTGAGGACTGGAGGGCTGCGGACCGAGGGCTGGAGGGGTGCGGACCGAGGGTCGTGGGCTTTGGAACGAGGGCTGGAAGGTTACGGACCAAGGGCTTTTGGACTGCGGACCGAGGACTGGAGGGCTGCAGTCCGAGGGCTGGAGGTCTTTGGACCGAGGACTGGAGGGCTGCAGACCGAGGCCTGGAGAGCTGTGGACCGAAGGCTGGTGGGCTGCGGACAGAGGGCTGCGAAACGTGGGCTGGAGGGCTGCGAAACGAGGGTTGGAGGGCTGAGGACCGAAGGCTGGTGGCTGCGGAACAAGAGCTGGAGGGTTGCGGAGCAAACACTGGAGGGCTGCGGACCGAGGACTGGAGGGCTGCGGACCGAGGCCTAGAGGGCTGCCGAACGAGGGCTGCGGACAAGGGGCTGGAGGGCTGCGGACCGAGGCCTGGAAGGCTGCGGACCAAGGGCTGGAGGGCTGCGGACCGAGGGCTAAAGGGCTGCGGAGCAAGGACTGAGGGCTGCAGACCGAGGCGTGGAGGGCTGCGGACCGAGGGTTGGAGGGCTACGGAACGATTGGTGGAGGGCTGCAGAACGAGGGCTGGAGGGCTGTGGGCCGAGGACTGGAGGGTTGCGGACCGAGGCATCCCAGACAGCAGTCGTTACCGCTGGTGTTGACCCGTCGACCCCAAGTGCCAGGTAAGCTGGTGGCCGTGCCTGGCTGTGGGTGATGGTCCCACGCCTTCACAAGCGTCTAACGTGAAGCAGTTTTTGTATAGTGTGAAGCAAGCGGGTGTAACTATGTCTTAGCTACCCTCGCCGGACCAACATGCTCACACAAGGACAGGGAACCGTTCAAACTGAACTTGTGGTGGTCCTTCACTACATGTTGGTACTCTCCACGTAATAGTTGCTATACGTACTATCATTTAATAGGACGGGCTGGAATATTCACATGGGAGTTAATCGACTGTTGTGGGGTGCATCTAGGGAAAGGTCAGACGTTGATCTAGGAGACCTTTACACCTGATGTCTCTATTCACCCAGGCGTCAGGGAAAGGTCAGTATGTGATGGATGGGAACCTGAGCGAGTGTAAGAGGCTTACGGTCTCCATCATGTAAGTCAAGTTTCAGCCAAAATGATGTTTAGACTCCGGTAAAGGCTAATGAAAATGGAATGAAGAAAATTTAATTTAATTTTATGAAAGAGCAGAGAATTATAAATATTTTCAGTCGTATTGTCACCGTTTTCTACATCACAAAACATTGACGTAATAGTAATTGAGACAACTTTACAAAGTTACAAAAGTAGGAAACAATATGAAAATAAACATTTGTTCATTTTGCAGAAACTTTTGGACAATTGAGCGATCAAATCCGACACTAAACTAGAGCACGAATGAACATAATTATAAGCAATATTGAATGTGGAAAATTTCAATAAATCTTTTCACAAAGTTCCAGGAGCTCCAGGGACGGGGAGATGAGATATTTAATATGATGAGGCGTGGAGGAGGCGAAGACGATAGTTGCTGTGGCCTGGATAATGCCCCCCCCCTCCACCACCTCCCCCCCCCTCCACCACCTCCCCCCCCCCCCCCCCATCCACCTCCCCCCCATCCACCTCCCCCCCCTCCACCACCTTACCCCCCTCCCCCTCCACCACCTCCCACCCCCTCCACCACCTCAACTATATTACTCCTCTATGTTGGTACTCACCTAGTTGTACTCACCTAGTTGTGCTTGCGGGGGTTGAGCTCTGCTCTTTCTGGCCGCCTCTCAACTGTCAATCAATCAACTGTTACTAACTACTAATTTTTCTTCCACCTATAAACACACACACCCCAGCCCGTAGCAGCTGTCTCCCAGGTACCTATTAACTGCTAGGTAATTGGGGCATCAGGGTGAAAAAAATTCTGCCCATTTCCTTTCTCCCATCACCGGGATCGAAGTTGGACCCTAGGATTACGATTCCAGAGCTCGGCTATTAGGTCACCAGATGTGTGTTGGTGTGTGTGTATGTTGGTGTACTCACCTATTTGTACTCATCTAGTTGTGCTTGCGGGGGTTGAGCTTTGTCTCTTTGATCCCGCCACTCAGCTGTCAATCAACTGATGTACAGATTCCTGAGCCTACTGGGCTCTATCATATCTACATTTAAAACTGTGTATGGAGTCAGCCTCCACCACATCACTGCCTAATGCATTCTATCCGTTAACTACTCTGACACTGAAAAAGTTCCTCCTAACGTCTCTGTGGCTCATGTGGGTACTCAGTTTCCACCTGTGTCTTCTTGTTCGCGTCCCACCAGTGTTGAATAATTCATCCTTGTTTACCCGGTCGATTCCTCTGAGGATTTTGTAGGTTGTGATCATGTCTCCCCTTACTCTTCTGTCTTCCAGTGTCGTAAGGTGCATTTCCCGCAGCCTTTCCTCGTAACTCATGCCACTTAGTTCTGGGACTAGTCTAGTGGCATACCTTTGGACTTTTCCAGCTTCGTCTTGTGCTTGACAAGGTACGGGCTCCATGCTGGGGCCGCATACTCCATGATTGGTCTTACATATGTGGTGTACATGGTTCTGAATGATTCCTTACACAGGTTCCTGAACGCTGTTCTGATGTTTGCCAGCCTCGCATATGCCGCAGACGTTATTCTTTTTATGTGGGCTTCAGGAGACAGGTTTGGTGTGATATCAACTCCTAGATCTTTCTCTCTGTTCGTTTCATTAAGTACTTCACCTCCTATTCTGTATCCTGTGTCTGGCCTCCTATTTCCACTGCCTAGTTTCATTACTTTGCATTTACTCGGGTTGAACTTCAACAGCCATTTGTTGGACCATTCACTCAGTCTGTCTAGGTCATCTTGTAGCCTCCTACTATCGTCCTTAGTTTCAATCCTCCTCATAATTTTTGCATCATCGGCAAACATTGAGAGAAACGATTCTATACCCTCTGGGAGATCATTTACATATATCAGAAACAGAATAGGTCCAAGGACTGACCCCTGCGGGACTCCACTCGTAACGTCTCGCCAATCTGAGACCTCACCCCTCACACTGACTCGTTGTCTCCTGCTGCTTAGGTACTCCTGTATCCAACGGAGTACCTTCCCTTTCACTCCAGCCTGCATCTCCAGCTTTTTCACTAGCCTCTTGTGTGGCACTGTATCAAAGGCTTTCTGACAATCCAAAAATATGCAGTCTGCCCACCCTTCTCTTTCTTGCCTTATTTTTGTTGCCTGGTCGTAGAATTCAAGTAGCCCTGTGAGGCAGGACCTGCCATCCCTGAACCCATGTTGATGCTGTGTTACAAAGTTCTTTCGCTCCAGGTGCTCCACTAGCTTTCTTCGCACAATCCTCTCCATCAGCTTGCATGGTATGCAGGTTAGGGACACTGGCCTGTAATTCAGTGCCTCCTGTCTATCCCCTTTCTTATATATCGGGACTAAGTTAGCTGCTTTCCAAATTTCTGGCAGTTCCCCTGTTGCCAGTGATTTGTTATACACTATGGAGAGTGGGAGGCACAGTTCTTCTGCTCCTTCCTTTAGTATCCAAGGGGAGATTCCATTTGGGCCTATAGCCTTTGTCACATTCAACTCTAGTAAACACTTCCTTACTTCCCCGCTGGTAATCTCAAACTCTTCCAGTGGTTCCTGGTTAGCTATACCCTCTCTTATCTCTGGGATTTCTCCTTGCTCTAAGGTGAAGACCTCTTGGAACTTCTTATTCAGTTCCTCACACACTTCCTTGTCGTTTGTAGTGAATCCTTCTGTGTGTGTGTGTGTGTGTGTGTGTGTGTGTGTGTGTGTGTGTGTGTGTGTGTGTGTGTGTGTGTGTGTGTGTGTGTGTGTGTGTGTGTGTGTGTGTGTGTGATATAGAACCAATAGAACACTTTATGTACATATACAAACTTGTATGCACTCATACACAAACACATGCATTAATACACTTATTTCCGCTCATAAACACACACATGCACTCATACTCATCCATACGCACTCGCAGACGTACTTAAACACGAAAACTACATACCTGAAGAATGAGCAATTAGCACGTATGAGAGTCAATAAGGGAAATATTAAACAATATTATGCTGAGAGGCTCCAGAGTGAAGGGAGGTAATTACGGGTGAGGAGGTGAGTGACAAGCCGCTGTCTAATTAGCAGTAAGACGCTCGACAAGGACAAACTTCCTTAATTAACTTTGGTGGATTATGTCTTAATATTTTATATTTGGCCAGACGGTAACGAACGCATTGAAGCGTGTGTCAGACACTGGGAGGTGGTGAAGCGTGTGTCAGACACTGGGAGGTGGTGAAGGGTGTGTCAGACACTAGGAGGTGGTGAAGGGTCTGTCAGACACTGGGAGGTGGTGAAGGGTCTGTCAGACACTGGGAGGTGGTGAAGGGTGTGTCAGACACTGGGAGGTGGTGAAGGGTGTGTCAGACACTAGGAGGTGGTGAAGGGTGTGTCAGACACTAGGAGGTGGTGAAGGGTGTGTCAGACACTAGGAGGTGGTGAAGGGTGTGTCAGACACTAGGAGGTGGTGAAGGGTGTGTCAGACACTGGGAGGTGGTGAAGGGTGTGTCAGACACTGGGAGGTGGTGAAGGGTGTGTCAGACACTGGGGTGGGGGGGGGGGGTAAACAGAGCAGCACAGGGTGGGCCAGACAGCAGCATAGGGTGGGCCAGACAGCAAAACAGGGTGGGCCAGACAGCAGCACAGGGTGGGCCAGATAGCAGCACAGGGTGGGCCAGACAGAGCAACACAGGGTGGGCCAGACAGAGCAACACAGGGTGGGCCAGACAGCAACACAGGGTGGGCCAGATAGCAGCACAGGGTGGGCCAGACAGAGCAACACAGGGTGGGCCAGACAGAGCAACACAGGGTGGGCCAGACAGAGCAACACAGGGTGGGCCAGACAGAGCAACACAGGGTGGGCCAGACAGAGCAACACAGGGTGGGCCAGACAGCAACACAGGGTGGGCCAGATAGCAGCACAGGGTGGGCCAGACAGAGCAACACAGGGTGGGCCAGACAGAGCAACACAGGGTGGGCCAGACAGCAACACAGGGTGGGCCAGATAGCAGCACAGGGTGGGCCAGACAGAGCAACACAGGGTGGGCCAGACAGAGCAACACAGGGTGGGCCAGACAGCAACACAGGGTGGGCCAGACAGAGCAACACAGGGTGGGCCAGACAGAGCAACACAGGGTGGGCTGCTGCGTCAACACAGTGTGGGCCCCTCGCACCAAGCAGGAGATCGGGCCAGACAGAGCAACACAGGGTGGGCCAGAAGAGCATCGTCAGCTGGGCCAGACAGCAACACAGGGTGGGCCAGATAGCAGCACAGGGTGGGCCAGACAGTGGTCAAGGGTGAGATCAACAGCAGGTCAGGGTGGGCCAGACAGGATGAGGTCAAGGGTGTGGTCACAGGATGAGGTCAAGGGTGGGCCAGACAGCAACACAGGGTGGGCCAGATAGCAGTACAGGGTGGGCCAGACAGCAGCACAGGGTGGGCCAGACAGCAGCACAGGGTGGGCCAGACAGCAACACAGGGTGGGCCAGCCTCACAGGTGTTGCTCCTCCCACAGCGGTGTTGTGCTGCTGCGTCTTCAAGTGTCGGGTCCCTCGCACCAAGCAGGAGATCGAGGCCGACTTCATCAGACGCAAGTTAGCCAAGAAGTTCCATCGTCAGCTCAACATTATCAACAACTCTGAGATGGACGAGATGGATCTGCTCAAGGGTGAGGTCAAGGGTGTGGTCAAGTTTGAGATCAAGGATGAGGTCAAGGGTGTGGTCAAGTTTGAGATCAAGGATGAGGTCAAGGGTGTGGTCAAGGGTGTGGTTAAGGCACAATAATGATAACAATGATAGTGATAACGCCAACAGAACCAATAACATCACCTTTACTAATAAAATATATTCAGCGTTGCAGTAACAAGAAAGTTCTAGTAATTTATTACTCTATTTTCTCTAGTAGCGGTATTTTTATTTATATAGATAAATTAAACAGTTTTTCTTGTGAAATAGGCTCGGCGTAGGGAGGGGATCAAACCTTTACCAAACATTTCAGATCTGAAAATAAAAATAGAATGTTTGGGTCCGACCTGGACCATAATCAAGTCTTGATAATGGTCCAGAATGAACCGAAACGTTCTCGTCTCTCCACTTTCTGATGTGTGGTCTGGGTGTCTAATGTTCAGCCCCGTTACTGTCACTGAGTGCAAGATATTAATGTTTGTATTGTGACTGAGGATGACCTTCCCGCCGGCAGCCCTGGAGCGCCTGAGGTCCGAGCTACGAGCTGACTCTGGGAGCCTGGCCCAGTCGGAAGCCTTCTCCACCCTCTCCTTCACGCCCACAGGAACCCCGACCTACAGGAAGGGTTCAGAGCTCCACCTGGGTGAGTTGAGTCTGCTTGCTATGTGCTGAGTACTTGTAGTGGGGTTCCTGTTAGTGGGTACCTGCCACTGGGTACCTCTTTGCGGGAACTTGTTTGTGGGTACCTGTAAGTGGGTACTTGTTAGTGGGTACCTGTTAGTGGGTACTTGTTAGTGGGTACCTGTTAGTGGGTACTTATTAGTGGGTACTTGTAAGTGGGTACTTGTTAGTGGGTACTTGTTAGTGGGTACCTGTTCGTGGGTACTTGTTAGTGGGTACTTGTTAGTGGGTACCTGTTCGTGGGTACTTGTTAGTGGGTACCTGTTCGTGGGGAATCTGCTTGTGTTCCCGTTATTGGGTACCTGGTTGTACTCACCTAATTGTGCTTGCGGGGTTGAGCTCTAGCTCCTTGGTTCCGCCTCCCACCTGTTAATCAACTGGTGTACAGATTCCTGAGCCTACTGGGCTCTATCATATCTACATTTGAAACTGTGTATGGAGTCAGCCTCCACCACATCACTGCCTAATGCATTTCATCTGTTAACTACTCTGACACTGAAAAAGTTCTTTCTAACGTCCCTTTGGCTCATTTGGTTTCTCAGTTTCCACCCGTGTCCCCTTGTTCGTGGCCCACCCGTGTTAAACAGTTTATCTTTATCTACCCTGTCAATTCCTCTGAGAATTTTGTAGGTAGTGATCATGTCTCCCCTTACTCTTCTGTCTTCTAGTGTCGTGAGGGGCATTTCACGCAGCCTTTCTTCGTAACTCATGCCTCTTAGATCTGGGACTAGTTTAGTGGCATATGTCTGAACTTTTTCCAGCTTCGCCTTGTGCTTGACAAGGTACGGGCTCCATGCTGGGGCCGCATACTCCAGGATTGGTCTTACATATGTGGTATTCAAGGGTCTGAATGATTCCTTACACAGGTTCCTAAAGGCAGTTCTGATGTTAGCAAGCCTCGCATACGCCGCAGATGTTATTCTTTTAATGTGGGCTTCAGGAGACAGGGTTGGTGTGATATCAACTCCCAGATCCTTCTCTCTGTCCGTTTCATGAAGGACTTCATCTCCCATTCTGTCTCCTGTGTCTGGCCTCCTGTTTCCACTGCCTAATTTCATTACCTTATATTTACTCGGGTTGATCTTTATTAGCCATTTGTTGGACCATTCATGCAGTCTGCCAAGGTCATCTTGTAGTCTCATACTGTCTTCCACTGTCTTAATCCTCCTCGTAATTTTTGCATCATCAGCAAACAATGAGAGGAATGATTCTATACCATCTGGAAGATCATTTACATATATAAAAAACAGTATGGGACCAAGGACAGAACCCTGCGGGACCCCTCTGGTGACGTCTCGCCAATCTGAGACCTCACCCCGCACAGTGACTCGCTGCCTTCTATTACTTAGGTACTCCCTAATCCAAGGGAGTTCCTTCCCTTTCACTCCCGTCTGCATCTCCCGCTTTTGCACTAATCTCTGGTGTGGCACTGTGTCAAAGGCTTTGTGGCAATCCAAAAAAATGCAGTGTGCATTGACACTGTGGTGCACCTTCTCTTTCTTGTCTGATTCTTGTTGCCTGATCGTAGAATTCAATTAATCCTGTGAGGCATGACTTGCCATCCCTGAAACCATGTTGGTGTTGTGACACAAAGTTCCTTCACTCCAGGTGTTTGACTAGCTTTTTTCTCACAATTTTCTCCATTAGCTTGCATGGTATGCAAGTTAGGGACACTGGCCTGTAGTTCAGTGCCTCCTGTCTATCCTGAACTGTCCCGCGTCACTCACCTTGGCCTTGTGTTACGTGAGGTTACAGATAAACAACGGGGAATCATACTACTGATCCTGTAACCCCATGCCGTGGGTCTTTGCTCCCTCCACTAGAGTATCATACATCACCCCTAGGGAGCTCTCCATGTCATGCCTTAAGACCGGTCACCACTATTTGACCTTGGACCCAAGAGGGAGAGGAGAAAGCCCAAAACACACCACTTGAGCTCAATCCTGCAGTGTGTGACTCCCCCACCAGGCCTGCCCACCTGTGCGTGTAAAGTTTTCCCGGACTCCCGGTCGTATCCTCAATGTCACCTCTTCCTTTCTGGTCGCCAGCTGGATAATCTTCTCTGCGTCCCAGCAACGCTTTTGGGTCGAAAATAATATCGTATCTACAGCCCAGGACCTATTTCTATAGAAGGCCAGTACTAGAATTCAAATATAATATCGTGTTGCCAACCCAGGGTCTCTTTCTATGTAATGCCAGTACCAATGTGGTATAATCATATATCATTTACTCATAATGCTCAGTGAGACGGAGGTGACACCAAAAGCAATGATAAAATAATAATGTTTACTCAAAGGTAAGTAAATAATTATCAAAAGGAAGGCACCAAACCGGGAAGGTTATGTAGCTCCATCAAAAGTGCGGAATAATCAGAGGGGGCTAAATTTCACCAAGGATGCCAATACGAGAATAGAAACGCATAAGGCAAACGATATCAAAAGTATCCGATTCACCAAGAATTCTATCGAGGGACAAGTGACCGCGAGCGGCGGCCGGAAAGCAAGACACATGCTCATCCTGGAAGTCAAGACATAACAAGGATATGCACGACGGTAAGAGGGACAATGCCATTTGGACAATAAGGAGGTGGGAGGCGCTCCATTAAGTAACCGTGAGTTAAGCGAGTATGGCCAAGACGCGACCGTGCTAGAGCCGTTTCCCACCACCGGTTACGGTGGCAGGATGAAGGCCACAGGGACACACAACGCTTAAGAGTATGCAGTTTGTTACCAACAACAGAAGACCAACAACCCTGCCAGCGAGCAAGGATGGAAGAATGAATAACCAGATAAAAGTCGGAAAAAGGAATATCTTTACGGGAAATGGGACAAGAGCGGATAGCCTCTCTAGCGGCAAGATCTGCATGCACATTTAAAGAAACACCAACATAGCTGCGAACCCAGTAAAATTCCACGGATTTAAATTTACTGGAGATAAGAAACAACCAATGTTGAATCTCGACGACAACGGGATGGGCAGGATTAAAGGACCCGAGAGCCATGAGGGCAGAATAGAGTCAACGACAATCACAAAGGAGAATTGACAATGAGAAAGCAGGAGATGGAGAGCATGGAGAATAGAATAAAGCTCCGCTGTAAAGATGCTAGTCTCCGAAGGGAGGCGACTCATACAAGTGCGGTCAGGAAAAACAACAGAGTAGTCCACACCGTACACAGACTTGGACCCATCGGTGAAGATGGAAACGGAGTGGGAGTGTGAGGAAAAGTGCTCAAGAAAAAGGCGTTGCAGAACCGTTGGAGGAGTTAAAGCTTTAGTGATGCGGGTCAAGGATATACAAAACCTCGGAAAGGGAACCCTCCACGGGGGTAAGGAAGGAACAATACGAAGAGAAAAATGAGAGAGACGAATGGAAAGAGACACCTGTAAGCGAGATAGCCGGACAGAAAGAGGGAGGTGGTGAAGAGGAACAGGAACTACAGGAGGGGTAAAAGTCAAAGCACGACAGAGGCAAGAGGAAGGATGTTGCAAGGACCGCACCAGATAGCGAAGACAGTAGCGTTCACGGCGGTCTTGGAGAGATAGGAAACCAGTGTCAACATACAAGCTGAGGGCGGGAGTCGAACGAAAGGTACCAGAGCTGAGGCGCAACCCAGCATGTTGCAAAGCATCAAGATGGCAAAGAGTAGAAGGAGAAGCGGACGAGTAAGCAGGGCAACCATAATCGAGTTTAGACAGGACCAGTGAGGAATGTAAAGAGAGGAGCGTACGTCTATCCGCCCCCCAAGAAGTATGTGACAAAACCTTAAGGTGGGAAAGGGCCTTAGAGCATTCAGCGCAGAGGTAAGAGATATGGGCTGACCAAGACAAACGAGTGCCAAAGATTAACCCCAGAAGCTTAGCGGAATCCCTGTACACAAGGGGATGTCCATAAAGAGAGTAAAAGTCATAGCACAAGTCACAGACGCAGAGAACTTGAAGCCATGATCGGTGGCCCAAGACGACACGGCACCAATCGCAAGTTGAAGCCGCCATTGAAGGAGAAGCGAATCATCACCCTGACAGCAAAGGGTAAGATCGTCTACATAGAGAGCGGAAAAGACACCAAAAGGAAGGGAGGAAAGAAGACCCTTAAGAGCAACAAAAAAAGAGTAGTGTTCAGAACACTACCTTGGGACACACCCTCATATTGCCGAAAAGGGGCAGAGAGAGTGGTACCGAGCCTCACTCGAAAGGAACGACGAGAGAGGAAACTTTGGAGGAAGAGAGGGAGATTCCCACGAAGGCCAAAAGAATGAAGTTGGGACAGAATTTGATACTACCAGGTAGTGTCGTAAGCCTTTTCCAGGTCAAAAAGGACGGCAACAACGGAGGTCTTTGCAGCAAAAGCAGTATGAATATAGACCTCCAAGTTCACGAGGACCTCTGTTGTGCTGCGGCATTTGCGAAAACCAAATTGAGAAGGGGAAAGGAGGTGATAGTGCTCTAAGAACTACATCAGACGAACGTTAACCATACGTTCAAAGAGCTTGCAGACACAACTCGTGAGGGCAATAGGGCGGAAGTCCTTGGGGGAAGACCCGAGAGACTCTGTTTTCCGAACAGGGAGGACAACAGCATCGAGCCAGTCCTCAGAGACTGACGACAACTCCCAGACCGGATTAAACAGACTCAGTAAATACTGAGACGAGCACGGAGGGAGATGTTGAAGCATCTCATAATGAATGCCATCGGACCCTGCCACCGTAGAACCGCAGAGGGCCAGGGCAGACTGGAGCTCAGAGATAGAGAAGGGATCTTTATAGGGAAGGCAGAGATAGGTACAGAAATCCAAAGGATGAGATTCAAGAAAAGGCTTACGAAGAATGAAGGAATGGGGAAGATGAGAACCAGAACTAACAGACGAAAAGTGGGAACCTAATTCGGTCGTGACCTGCAACGGGTCCGCCACAAGAGTACCACCGAGGTAAAGGACCAGGGAGACATCGGGAACGAACTTACCTGCAATCTTGAGGATTCGCTTCCAGATTAGCAGGAGAGGAGTTTCGGACGTGATGGTGGAAACATAAGACATCCAACATGCACATTTAGCCATAGTCCTACGGTTCTACGGGCCACCACACTTGCCTTCTGAAACAAAAGAAAAGATTCAGGTGTTCGCCGGCCACGAAGCCTTTTCCAGGCTGAATGCTTACAGCGGACAGCTCGAGCACAGTCACATTCCACCAGGGAACGCACTTCTGCGTTCACCGATAGGAAGAGCGAGGAATAGAACGGAGGGCAGCGTCGAAGACGGTGTCATTAAAAAGGAGGAGGGTGCGAGGGAGAGGCAGAATGGAAAAGTCGAAGATAGTAGTACGGACGGTAAAGAGGGGCCAATCAGCTTCGGAAAACCGCCACCTAGGGAAGTAGAGGGGAGGGTGAAAAGAGAAAAAGGAAACAAGGATGGGATAATGGTCACTGCCATGGAGGTCGTCAAGAACCCGCCACTCAAAATCTAAGTAAAGGGAAGACTAGCAAAGAGAAAGATCAAGACAGGAAAGGGAGCGAGTCCGAGAGTCTAAATGAGTGGGCTCACCAGAATTCAGAAGAGACAGGGAAGAAGAGAGGATGAACGGTTCAAGAAGGCGACCTCGAGTGTTTATCACAACATCACCCCAAAGGGTATGTCAACAATTGAAATAACCTAGCAGGAGCACAGGCTCTGGCAAGGAGTCCAGTAGGTGTTTAAGATCTACTGGGCTACTACAGAGAAAGCGGGACACTCAGGGGGAGATAAATGGAACAAACCGTGTACCATTTCCTCACAAAGATACGAGCACCAGAACAATGGAGAGGCGAAAGAAAAAGTAAGGGGACAAAGGGAACATCAGAGCGAATCAAGAGAGCAGAAGAGTTAGGAGCCCCAGCAACAGCTTAGCTGGGGGGGGGGGGGAGAGAGAAAGGAATAGCCACGAAAACGACCAGGACGAGCACCAAGCATCAGCTCCTGGGGACAAACACAAAGGGGTGAAAATCGTGAAAGCAGAAGTAAGAGTTCACGGAAATTGAAACCACGAATGTTCCATTGAAGAAGAGACATCGACAGGTAGAGAAATAACAGCAACATTACTCAAAAGTAAACTACAGACACTTATGATATATATATACATATGGATATCAATGGAAATGATAATGGTGACAGCAGCGCTCCTCTGGTCGCCGCCGGCAATTCGCATCAGCTGATCGAGTTTAAATGAACCACTGGCCTGAGTCGCTCTCCACTGGGGAGCGACTCCGTCGGCGTAGGTCCACAGTCCTCCTCAGGGCAGCCACTCACGCCATTCGCTGTCTTCACCAGGCAGTAGATAATATATTTGTGATGTCCCACAGCCTAATCTACTCCTTTGATTCCTAGAACACTCTCGCAAATGCCTAAATATAACAGTAGGCCTATCTTTCCTAACATCAAAGGAAAAATGATCTACCTTATCAAGTCCTGCCCTCAGACGCCTGGACTCCGATGGTCGCTGGGGTTCCTCGGTCCTTCACGTCGTTTTTTGGCGTTTCAGATGAGTCACCAGTCCATAGGCATCGTGTAGACCTGTGTCATCTCCATACTCAATTCCGTAGTGAAGTTCCTGGTCACTGGTTCGTCCAGTCGTCATTGCTCAAGTCGTTTTCCTCTAGCACTCCTTCACCGAGACCACTCACTCATGGATCAGGATGCGTCTTCTCCCACCTTAGTTCCCAGTGGGCGTGATCCATCACAACAGCTCTGAACACCTCGGAGTTCCACTGACGGCAAGCCACTTCTTGCTCCTGCCGCAGCCACTCCCTCGACCCTTCCAAGACTATCAGCTCACAGCTCTCGGCGCTCTTATACCGCTAGAACTCGACTCCTCACACTTCCCTGAAGTTCTGCAGTCTTTGGTAGTCGCTATAAACTTGTCAGGCTGTTTAACTCCACTGAATGAGGCTCCTGGACCTCGGAATTCGAGAGCGCAACCAGCGCACGTTCTCTCTCAATGAAGCGCCGCGAGACTCTGAGCACCTGGCGCTTTGACTTCACCTCCCGGTGACGTCACACACCCAGAGGTGGACTCTGATTGGTCAATCATGTCATGTGACCTCGGCCAGCTACTCACCAGCCGGCTGGCGTTGCACTCAAAATGGGGGATTTGCAAGCAGGGGGCGCCATTTTGTTGTACCTAGGGTGCGACCTTCCCCCCCTTACCTACAAACTTACAAATGCAAATTTCTCCACAAATAAGTAACCAATTCAGTAGCCTCATACATCAAAAGACTCCCTGCATCTCAGGAAACCAGCAGGGAAAGCTGATATGATTCTTAAAGCTGGCATATGGGAGAAATAGGAGAGGGCACCGTAACAGTACCTGTTAGTGGGTACCTGGTTGTGGATACTTGTTAGTGGGTACCTGTTAGTGAGTACCTCTTCGTGGGTACCTGTTAGTGGGTACCTGTTAGTGGGTACCTCTTCGTGGGTACCTGTTAGTGGGTACCTGTTAGTGGGTACCTCTTCGTGGGTACCTGTTAGTGGGTACCTGTTAGTGGGTACCTGTTAGTGCGGTACTTGTTAGTTGGTGCTTCTCAAAAGGTTTGTGGGCAACTGTTAGTAGGTACTTGTAAGAGGGTACTTATTAGTGGACACATGTTACAAACTTAGTATTAAAATTACACCAGAGAGTAATAAATTAATTTGGGGACCACATTTACAATAGAAATCTATTTGATTGGTTTGGCTTTCAGTAATGCGGTTTGAAACGCATTTTAACCCTTCAACTGAGCATCGGGAAGCGTGTCTGCGTTGTGTCCGTCACCATGGGAGCTCTCTTGTTGTCTGGGAGGGTGGTGTTGAAGCCTGGGTTGTGTTCTTCTCCTACACTGATATTGTGTTCTTCTACTCTGTTGTTGTGTCCTTCTCCTACTCTGTTATTGTGTTATTCTCCTACACTGTAATTGTGTTCTTCTACACTGTTATTGTGTTCTTCTCCTACACTGTTATTGTGTTCTTCTCATTCAGTTTTTATGTTCTTCGTTTACACTGTGTTCTTCTCTTACTCTGTTAGTGTGCTCTTCTCGTCCACTGTTATTGTGTTCTTGTCCACTGTTATTGTGTTTTTCTCATACTGTTGTTGTATTCTTCTCATAAAACCTGTTACTGCATAGGTGTATGTTGGCAGGTGTGTCGTTGGAGGAGCTGCGGCTGGCCACTGACCAGGGGCCCATCACCAACCTCAGGGGCCGCGTCTCCAATATCATCTCTGGGGCCCTCCGCAAGCTCCAGCACTGAGCCCTCCACTGCGGCCCCGCCACTAGGAGCACCACCACCACCACTAGCACCACCACCACCACTAGCACCACCACCACTGCTAGCACGACTACCACCAGGAGCACCACCACCATCACCACCACTACCACCACCACCACCAAAGCCGCATTTGTCAATTTTCCACTAATTAAATCGGAATTTTCTAAAATAAAATTTAATCTAATAATATATTAAAAATGTATGCATAATTAGTCCTAGGAGAGGCTAGCTTATGTGCTTTGGTTGTGCTGGCAATTATTTGTATTTTCATTACATGAGTGAAGAACACAGAGGCGGGCGCCATGGACACGGTGAACGAGCCTTTGGTGGAGGGAAGTCCGGGCTCAAGGAGGCATTAAGTCATTTGTAAATATGTAATGTTTCATTACATATTTGCATTACAGTTTCATTCAGGTAAGGTGGAGGGAGCAGGAGTAGGAGGCAGTGCTAGGGAGTAGGAGGCAGTGCTAGGGAGTAGGAGGCAGTGCTAGGGGTAGGAGGCAGTGCTAGGGAGTAGGAGGCAGTGCTAGGGAGTAGGAGGCAGTGCTAGGGAGTAGGAGGCAGTGCTAGGGAGTAGGAGGCAGTGCTAGGGAGTAGGAGGAATATAAGAGTGGGGCTTATAAGCGAGCCTTGGGTAAAGGTTTTCAGGAAGGCGTGATGATTGGTCAGTGGCCATGGGTTCCTCTCTCTCCGGGGAGCCACAGTGGCACCACAGGCGTAAATTATGTAAACACACACACACGCTTGCCTGCTCCTTTCCCCCCCCCCCCCTCCCTAACCCCACCTCAGCCGCTCCCCTCTCCAACCTTACCCCCACCTCTTATGGTTATAAGTTTTGTTTGCAAAGGGTTGATGCAACAGTATAATTTACACATTGTGTGTTTTCTACCATTCCTGACCTTCCCCTTAACCCTTTTGACTCAGATTTCCAGTTTACGTCTAAGAATATAATTCAGGCCAGCGGGAGCGTTTGAGTTGGTAGGCCAGTGTTGAGATGTGGGAGGGTGTGTGCATGGCGGCCTTCTGACTCATGTCGTGTCGGGATATATTGGGTTTCCTACGTGCAGGACCTTTGGCTGTAACCAAAATTATATTATTTGTCATTGACTGCTTCATTCCTAGCAATCTTTTCCTCTGGCAGAGACAGACTGTAGGGACTGTATTGGTGTGGTGATGCCTGACCTCATATGTACTGATGGAAATAGCCCAAGAAGGGGGTAGGGGGGGTCTTAAGCCCTACACTATTCAACATACTTATGAACGCCATTGCAAATATTTGATTTCCGGAAGTAAGAAATGTGGGATATGCAGATGATGTCTTAATACAAGCCCCAACCTTGGGGAAAATAAAACAGTCTATTGAACTCCTTGGAAGGAAATGTGTTGAGCTCGGTTTCACTCTCTCCACAAACAAGACAAAAGTAAACTCCCATCACAAGAGGGGAAGAACCTGAAGAACTACAAATTAATGGTGTAACACTTGAAGGGGTTGACCACTATCGGTACCTTGGCGTCACTGTCGGCTCTAACAAGGGAAAAGAAAGAGGAACTCAACCAACTCATAGGAACATGTAAAAGTCGACTCGGGGCACTGAGAGCTATGACCTGGAATGAGTATGGAGCCTCTATTGTCGTGGTTAAAAATTATGTACACAGCCTATGTGCGCTCCGTCATAGACTAAGCTGCACCAGTTTTGTGCACTTATTCCCAAAGCGATATGAAAAAACTTGAAAGCCTCCAAAATGAAGCCATGACCTTACCTTGAGGTGGTTATCTTGAGGTGATTTCGAGACTCAGCGACCCTGCGGCCCAGTCGTCGACCAGGCCTCCTTGTTCAATCAGTATTGGAGTCCCAAACACTGCCAAAACGTCTACTCTATGAGATGAGTTGTCCCTCCCCAGTGTTAACAGCAGAGTGAAGAACCTGAATGCGAAGCTTGCAATTTAGATAGCCAGAGTTCCCCATTACAATGATATTGCAAAGAAAAAACTGAGTTCTGTGCTACTCACAGGAGGAATCAGAAGAAGCTAAAAATGGCATCACAGATCAGTCTGCAATCTCGTAGAACTTCACCTGCATCAGCAAGCTGTGATCTGCCTGTAGAGAGGTTACCTCCCTGGAAGTATGACCCATGCACGATTATCATCAATGAAATGACAACCAAAAAAGTCCAACATGATACCACAAGAAATAAGGCACAGGTGTCTTGAAGAAATTAATAAAGAAGGCGGAAATGAATTAGATCAAATATACACTGAAGGACCATCTAATCCTGTCAATGGCAGGGCTGGTGCAGCATACACTGTAATTAGGAATAATGCCTTCCAACCCAAAAAGGAAGAAAAAGCACATATTGAGAACTATGCCTCTTTAACGCAAGCAGAACTAACTGCCGCTGTTGTGGCTTTAAGATTCCTTGAACCAAACACTAATGGCACAGTGATCTACACTGATTCAAAAGCAGCGCTACAGAGCTAAAGTAAAAATCGGGCATAAAATCTTGCGATAGTCGCTGAAATCAAGAGAGATGTGAGAGTACTAACCAATCAGGGAAGAGTCGTAAAATTCTTGTGGATTGCCTCCCATGTTAGAATCTGTGGAAATGAACGAGCAGATGTGCTGGCTGCTGAAGGAGACCATATTGAATACCTCATACCAAAAATTTTTCTACAAATTAGAGGTATTGTCAGGCAACATCACCGTGACAAGGTAACTGTGGAAAGGAGGATAGAAGAACACATCAGGGAATCTGTTTGTTGATTGATTTGATTGTTGCCGCCGAAGGCGGCTAGTTTATTGTGCACCCCATACTCATCCTGTGAGCGGTAGCGCAAAAGCATTACAGAGGGCACAAAAGGTCTTTATCAGACCTCATCTTAGATTATTACATAAACAATTTTTTCTATCCTTCACACCTTATAGTTGCAATGTCAGCTAGTTACAGGGAAAGTGCTATTACAAGAGCTACATATTTACAGTAAGTCATCATACATTAATGGAAGGTCTTATCGCTAATACATAATTATTTGGCCAATGGGGATATTACAGTCATAGGGGAGCTTCTGTTTATTATTAGTCCTCACAATACACTACTTGTTTCTGAATCTCATATGTCGTTCATCTACTGGAAGCGAAATGTGGGTACAGTGCAAGGATTTCAGGTAATTTATCCATGGTAATAAGATAGGTTGCCATATCATACAGAGTGAGCTTAGATTTATCTCTAAAAGGCTCAATTTTACAACAATCCAAGATATAGTGTTCGAGTGTGTGTCCCTGTCTATGTCCACACACTTTACACTTACTTCATCTAGATCCCTATACAAGCCGAACTGCCAGAGATACATGTAGCCAAGTCTTATACGAGCTGTGACAACATCTGTTAGTCTACTGACTTTGTTACTTGCCCCATACACATGTTTTAATTCACACATTTCATTGTGATGAACAATGGACCTGCTAGTTCCACTTTGCACTGTTCTACTTTCTTCAAATCCATCCAGGAGTTCTCGTCTAATGACACTTTTAAGGGACCTATTTGATAACTCAAGATTCCGTTCAATACTGTCTTTATTTACTGCAGCCTTAGCAAGGGCGTCAACTTTGTCATGTTCCTGCAGGCCAATGTGAGAAGGAATCCACAACATTTTTATATTTACCCTCTTGCTAAGTATTCTTATATATCTACGTCTAGCTTCCAAGACAAGCACGTTATTACTTGATTGCAAACTGTTTATTGCTCGTAGTGAGGAAAGGGAGTCAGAAATAATTAAGCTGTCTACTTCAGTGTTGTCAATAATTTTGAGTGCTACCAGTATCGCTACCAACTCGGCCTGCATTGTGGACGCCCAGTTACTAATTCGGATATTTCTTTGAATTGTGCTGCCATCGGGCTGATGAGCAATAACAGCACTTCCTGCCCTCCCTGTAGCTGTATTGAGTGATCCGTCAGTGTATATTGTCTGTGCACTGTTGTTTTCAGCTTGTATATTGTGAATGTGTTCTATGGTGCTTAATTTAGCAGCAAGCTGAGCATGAGGGTTGTTTGTGATTAGTTTCTTGGTGGGGTATGCAGGGGTCAAGATGTCAAAAGGTACTATCTGCCAGGGTGGAAGGAAGTGCTGTACTCTTTCATCTGTATATACATTGTGCAGTCCCATCATTTTAATATGAGTGGCAGTTCTTTGAATCCATTTAGACTCGCTAGTTCCATTTCGTATGTGTTCTAACAGTGCAATTGACACAATGTTGTTTTTGTTATCATGCAGCAGCTGATATCCCATCATCCCATTTTTGTTATCCCACCATAAGATTAATTTCAAATATTCTATCTCTAATGCTAAGTATATTTAATTCTTTTCGCATGTTGAGAACTTTGGTAGTTATAGGACAGCCAAGTATAATTCTGAGTGCTTCATTTTGCATTTTTTCCAGTCTATCAATACTTTTGCCATTTTGCAGGACCAAAGCTGGTGCATGATAGTCTATCAGAGACCTTATATACACTAAATACATCATTCTTGCTATTCTAATATTAACACCATATTTCGGGCTGTACCCCACTGCAGTTCTGAGAGCCTTGAGTCTGTCTCTACATTGTTGATGTAACTTATTGACTGCAGTTGAGGTACAAGGGACAGAGACACCAAGGTATTTGAAAGAAGAGACATAGTCTATTGGTATGTTGTCTATCTTAAGTTTTCGTGGTCCACTTTTGCGGTTCCCAATTTGTCTGTTAAATACCTTAGTTTTAGCAGCGTTGATTACAAGACCAAGGCTCTCACAAGCTGTATGTATACAATTTAAGACTGTTTGCATTTCACGGTGGGTTTTAGTATGCACAAGGATGTCATCTGCATAGCTGATAGTGATCTTTGCCGGACTAGTTGGGATTGATTTTAGTAAAGCATTAATTAGAACATTAAACAAGGTAGGAAAGTACTCCTCCTTGTGGGGTGCCTAGTTGCATTACTTTAGTTT